CTTTTGGAGAGAGCAGACCTTGACTTTAGGAGCAGGTGAAGTTTTGCATGCTCCTTGGCTTCTCTGCGTGAGGCTGAACCTTCCCCTGACTGCAATGCGATACTTGGGCATGCCGGGAGCCTGCCAGGTTTTGGACAGAGTGCTGAGTCGGAGCTCGCAGCTGTAGTAGAGAAATCAGGAGAACCTTCTCCGAGATCATGCTGCCTCTGAAGAGCTTTGTTGCAAATCAGAGGGCTTTGATTTGTGTAGACCTGTTGACTCTCGAGCTATAGAAACCCTAAATTTCCAGTAGTTTTTGTCCAACAGGAACTGTTGGACCATCCCTGTGGCTTTAGGGCACTTGAGTCTTGGTGGTGCAGACACTGCACCCTCAAAGGCTGCAGGAACTGGTGAGACTGGAACTTGGCAGCGTCCTCAAGCTCGGTGATGGAGCGTGCCTCCAAGCCAAAGCCTGTCAGCGTAGGCTGCTCCAAGCCCGGTGTAGACCTGCACTCCCTGGCTAGGTGTCTTCTCTGCTCTGCCCTTAGGCAGGGCTTCTGTCGAGCACAGGGCTGCCTGCAGCGTGCGAAGGGGCTGGCTCCTGGCACACGTGTCCCGTGCTGTGATGGGGCACGGGGGAAGCTCTTGCAAGTGAGACCATTGCCTGCAGACTAGCAGGGAAATGAGAGGTGCCGCAGCTGAGGTCTCCTGCTGCTCTGCATCAGTAAAGACCCCATCTTGTGGCCAGGCTTTCAGGCTGGGCTTATTTGGGGGGAAGAAGCAAAAAGGAAGGTGAAAAAGACTTTTTTTATTCTTCAAGAATAGCTAAAAGAATTGTACCTATCAAGTGTCCAGCTGCATGAACGTGTGGACTAGCTGTTTGCACTTGGCTGTTTATGCCACGTGCAAGGCCTGACCCATTTCGGCCCTATGCATCTCCTGCCCCCCACCCCCCCGCCCCTGTCTACAGGCGCACAAGGGTGAAACAAGGCTTGACAGTCACTGAGATTTGTGGTGTAAGTTCTGCTTTTCTCTGCTGTCAACTAGGGAAGTAAAACTCAAAAATGACTGAGCTTCCCAGAAAGCAGGTAGGCTTCCAGCCAGAGGCTGATGGCTTTGTGTTCCTGCCAAGCCCTATAATGCCAAATTGAGAATTTTTTTTTTTTTCACTTTTTCTAGATATTTGAAGTCTCTGACTCTATGTAACAGTGCTGGGAATGGCATTAAGTGACCTAATGCTCATAGAGTTGATCTGTATTTGAGGGTGCTGCCCTTCTTAAGGGAGGTGAGACCCCTCCAGGGTCTGAGTTAGGAAGGGGGCAGTTCTGGTAATATTAATCTGGATGCTGGAAACAAACATTAGCAAAAATTATCCGGAAGGGCTTGTAACATGACCGCTGCAATCTAATCCAGGCCTGATGCCGGATATTGCCGTATTGACATTACATCAGAGCCATTCAGAGCAATGCTATAAATTAAGTATATTGGAGCTTGCTGTTTAGCCTCCGGCATGATTGAGCTCCCTTTGCGTTGCTTCCTGCAGTGTAAGGAACAGTCAGGATTTGGTTGGCCAGCACAGGCTCACAGTGAAGGCACAGACCCGCATCCACTTGACAAGTCTCTGCAGTGGTTTCTGGATGGTCTTCTGCTGGAGGTGTTCACCCGTACAGTGCTGTTGGCAGAAGCAGCGCGACGGTGACTGCTGGAGCACCACATGTATTGTGGCAGATCACGCCAAGACACCAGCCCATCCTGCTGTGGTGCAGTGGGGCCGGCCAGCGGGCAGCAGCTCCTTGGCTGTAGCACTGGGACATGGTAGGCAGGCTCGGGGCAGACCAAGAGGCAGGGACGATGGCAGTTCTCAAAGGCAGCTTCACCTGGGATACATCTTTTCCACCTTCCAGTGACTCTCCAGTTAAGGCAGCTAAGTGTACCCTTGCTGTTCGATATCCTGGGCATCTTGCATTTTCTTCCTGCTGGGAATGCAAGTGCCAGATGGTTTTCCTTTCTTCTTCTCTCTGTTCAGCTGCAAACTGAAATACATGCAACAAACTGAACTACATTCCCTCCCCGCTCCCTGTGCTGAGGGATGTGGTCCCTGTCTCCAGCCATGTTACACCTTTCTATTTCTCTGCAGTGCTCTGTCTTACTGGGAGCCTGAGTACTGCTAGAGAGGAGTTACATGGTTAACAGGGTTCCCTTTCTGCTTTCATAAGTTCCCTGCCAGCTCCCTGGAGGAATCGGCTTTCTCCACAGGTGTACCTTCCATCTGTCAGCAAGTTTGTTGAAAGGATTTTGACAGGCAACTTTCTTCTGTAATCCTCAATAGCTTTGAGTTTAAAATGTTTATGGCAAAGCTAATCCTATGAAACTCCCTGTAGTTTTAATAAACCTGTCCTCCAGCGAGACTCTTCTGGTTAGAGGAGGTAAATCTACTTTCTGCAGTGATAAATATCTGCAGAATTGGCTGTGGGGCAGCTTTAAAGTCACCTGCTTGGTCCACACTTAAAACTGGTATCTCTGCTCAGAGAGCATTTCGCTTAAAAGCAAGACCCCATGTGGTTATCAACCTTCATAACCAGTGTCAGGAATGAAAACTGTTGGAGTCGGCGAGTCTTTTGTAGCATGGCTGTCAATGTTGGACACTCCGTTTGCAGCTGGAAGGTAGGAGAATAAGTCATGCTGGGATTTCTGGATGTTTCTAGTCCCAATTCCCTTACTCAAAGCAGGACAACTTAGATGGGACAAGACCCTGAGTAACCTGATCAAGTTTTGAGTATCTCCAAGGATAGACAACCCAAAAGCTTTAGGGCAGGGGGATGCCTTCATTGTGCCCCAGTAGCTTTCAAAGATGGCTTTAACCTCACGGTATCTTTCATTTATATTTGTGCGGGTGTCACTCAGAGGGAGGAATGAATGGAGTCATCTCAAAGTTGTTAAGGCTTGTAAAAACACAGATGACTAGAGACCTCTGAACTTGGAGCACAAGGCAGCCTGGAAGCAGCGTATAAACGATTTGCTAAGGGTATTTTAGCACGTTGTGGTCGGCTCTGCCCCAGCCCCTCTGCGGGAGGCAGCATATCGCACAAACCCCGGGGCTGTGTGGTTAAACAGCCGCCATTAGCCTGGCTGGGAGAGGTGTGACATGGGTTAATCCCCTGGCACCACAAGGAGCTGCCGGATGGCCCGGGCATCGCATGCCCTACTTACCTTGGGGCGTGAAAGCTGGGAGCTGCCTTGGCATGCTGCCCTGTGCACCTTGTCCTGTATCGGTGGCAGCTGCTGATAGTCACAGGAGACTCTGCCCTCTTTAACATGACACCCATTTCCCTGGCCCTTCAGCCACCTCCTACCCGTGGCACAGAAGACATTTGTGCCCACTTCACGCAGCAAGACCCACTTCTGTGTGGAGGTGGCCTGTTTGCTGCGTCCCTGCCAGGCTGTGGAGCATCTCATGGAGCATCTCAGGTCTGCACAATGGTGGGAGTGGAGGCTCCTCTTGCTGCCTCTGCCTTGAGGAAAGGAGTAGAGGGTGTCTGGATCAGAGACTGGAGTACTCTGCTTGCTGTGTGGGAAGCTAAGGCTTAGCTGTAGCTTGATTTTTGGGAGAAGATGTTAGCCAGACCATGCCTGAATGGCTGCAAGGAGAGCTGCGGGCAGGAGTGGATGTTGCTGGAATGAGCAGGTCGGTGTGGTATTAGTGAGGGCGAGTCACTGCAGGCCACTCAAATGAGGGCCTGGGCTGGACCTTCCAGCATGAGCCCTTGGCCTCCTGATCACCACCCCAGATGTGGTTACCTAGGCCCAGAACAAACCTTGTCCTTGCAAACGCTTGTGAAAATGACTCAGTATTTGCAGAAGCCTTTCACATCCAATCCATTACCCAACCCACATGAGAAGGGACTGCCGAGAGGAGGCTTACAGGTTCTTACTCTGCTGGCCTGCTTCCCACATGGCCGTACCCAGGGTGTGTATGTGGTGGGGCAGTGTGCCCCTGGGGCAAGAGGACAACCACGAATATCCAAGCTCAAAGTGCCACTTGGCAGGTGTAACTACGCCAGCCGAGAGGCTGTATGGAGCAGCCGGGCTGCCACGGCATCCTGGGCTGCTGCTCCCACCCTAAGGGCGCAACATGGAGGCAAGGGGGATGCGAGCCCTTCCCGAGCTGCCCGCTGCCCCTCAGGCAGGGCAGCTGGTGCAGCAGTTGGCCAGATGCCTCGCTGTTGCCAGAGGTGCTGCCTGGGTGGCTTCAGCTGGCGATGGGTTTGCTGGAGCTGGAATGAGATTATTGCAATATCAAATGTGATGCTTCCCAGTAACTGAACTGGCCGAGGCAGCACTTGGCAGCCTGCTTGTGTGATGGCTCTGTGCTCCATCCTCTCCTTTATCCCTCCGTTGCCGCGGCATGTGAGGCAGGTAGAAGTGATGCTGTGCATTAACACTGTTATCCTCAATGAAGAAAATCCTGCGTGGGAAGAACATACTCTTACCGTGTGAGCTTTTAAGTCCTTATCTGTGCAAATGCCTGAGGCAGCTGTAATTTTAAAACCTAACATATTCTGTAGGCATCTCAGAAGCATGCCCTGTGCTTATGGGGAATGGAAAAGATGAATGCCCCATGGCTGTGGTATTGTTAGTCCATGCCACTAGCTCGGAAACCTAGACCATCTCCACCCTCTTGCTTTGACTGTCCCTCTCGCCTGCATCACAAAGTCTTAATCTCATCCCACAGGTGAAAGGTGTCTCTTTCCTAGAGGATTTTTCTCATTCTGGAAAATGCTGACCTTCTAAGAGATGGAGAATACCTTGAATAAAACCCAACCTGCCCCTCTTGCTGGGGGACTGGACGATGGTGTGATTTCCCAGCTGGCTCCCTCTGGGATGGGAGTATATGCCAGACGACTTCGAGCCAGCTGCATTCTGCGTCTCACTAGAGATGTGCGGGAGCACTTGAATGTGTGATGGGAACGTCAAATGACCGGGGCTTAACCCAAGCATCTCTCTTCTCTCTCCCTCTCTCGATGCAGGTGACGGAGCTGAATGAGCCTCTGTCCAACGAAGAAAGGAACCTGTTGTCCGTTGCCTACAAAAACGTGGTGGGGGCACGGCGTTCCTCTTGGCGAGTAATTAGCAGCATCGAGCAGAAGACCTCTGCTGATGGGAACGAGAAGAAGATAGAAATGGTCCGGGCCTACCGTGAGAAGATCGAGAAGGAGTTGGAAGCAGTGTGCCAGGATGTGCTGAGCCTGCTGGACAACTACCTGATCAAGAACTGCAGTGAGACGCAGTACGAGAGCAAAGTCTTCTACCTGAAGATGAAAGGGGACTATTACCGCTACCTGGCCGAAGTGGCCACTGGTGAGAAGAGGGCAACCGTGGTGGAGTCTTCGGAGAAAGCCTATAGCGAAGCCCATGAGATCAGCAAGGAGCACATGCAGCCAACCCACCCCATCCGGCTCGGTCTGGCGCTTAACTACTCGGTTTTCTACTACGAGATCCAGAACGCGCCGGAGCAGGCCTGCCACCTGGCCAAGACGGCCTTCGATGACGCCATTGCCGAGCTGGACACCCTCAACGAGGACTCCTACAAGGACTCAACGCTCATCATGCAGCTCCTCCGTGACAACCTAACGCTCTGGACGAGCGATCAGCAAGACGATGACGGTGGAGAAGGCAACAACTAGACCCCCTCGATGGACTGGCAGCCGCACGCTGATGCTAACTAAAAAAAACAGGGGTGGGGGAGGGAAAGGGAGGGGACACCTTCCCAGGGAGGCCCCCCACAACCTGTCTTTGATTGCCTCGTTGACATTTTTGCCAAAACACCACTAGTGGAAGTCAGGCTGGCTGTGCTGGTATGGAATAGCAGCCTCACTGGCATATGGACTGTTCTGTAGATTATTAATACAAGTGGAGCTGTCTTTAATTTAACTTTATCGCTAGAAATAAAAGGGTTTTAAGATGAATTCGCGTGGATGGAATGGCCCTCGTTTTTAAGGAAAGCAACGCAAAAAAAAAAAAAGGGAGTTCTGTGGTTCCAGTAAGGCTTCGTGCGTTTGTTTCTTCAGTCCAAGTGCCGTGTGTCCGTACCACGCCGCGGGGCGTCTCTCTGCAGCGCTCTGCCTGGCAGGGTGTAGCTTAAAATCCCCAAATTCAGAAGGAATTAAAAAAAAAAAAAAAAAAAAAGAAAAACTAAAGAATTTGGGGCTGCAAAGCCCCAGGATTTAGGCCATCCAATCTTTTTTTTTTTTTGTTAAGATATTTATTAGGGTAGCTTACAGTATTAACACTAAATTGCAGTTTACAGTATTTCTACATTACAGCCATATGACATCAAGCCTTTGATTGTTTTTTTCTTTTGCTAGTTTTTTTGGCTTGCCTTCCTGATCAGTCCTCGCCTGTGGACTGGCTTTAGCTATTCTGTGTCGCCCAAGGCAAGAAGACCGCCCGCCCGAGGAACATCAAAGCTGCTCTAGTTTTTTGGTCAACAGCTTAACAGGTGCTTGGCTAGCGGCTGTTTCAACTATTTTAAGTCCACAGCAAAAGGTTTAAGAACTTAATTAGACAAGGGGGAAGTGTTTAAACTTAAAATGCCACTTAAATAAAAAAAAAAAATAAAAAAAAAAATTAAAAAAAAAGAGCATTCAGGTCTGTATGTCATGTACTGTGTTTGGTATTTCAAAAGACCATCCTGATTTAAGGTGCCACAGCTGCTTCCTCAGGGATTGCACTGCCATTTCACTCTGCCTGACTTTCTCCCACTGTACCATGAGGTTTGTCAGCAGATCTCGGGCACCCAGGCTCCCTTGTTGGGTACCAGGGAAGCCGGGTGCGTTTTCCTTTCTCCTGGGGAAGCTTGTGGTGTAATGAGTGAACTTCAGGAGCTTAGAAACTAATTTGGTAGAGAAATCCTCAAGGGAAGAGCTACAATCATAGACATTTCTATCAACCATCGGGAGCCCAGGAACTTAGTTCTCTTCTTAGCAAAATCTTTTCTGAGTCTGTCTGATCTGGCTGGGGGTGGGAGACGGGGCATCTGAGTTGCTTAGCAGGTAATATTTACCCCATTTTGAGTAAATCTATTCTTTTTAATTTTTATTTATACATCGTTGTTGGAAGTTCACTGCTGTTCTCTGGCTCGCGGAGTGCTGTGCCACGCAGCTTTTCGCCTAAAGCTGCACAGTAAGGAAAAATCGCACTCGTGCATTGCTATTGTTTGGTTGGTTGGGGTTTCTTTTTTTCTTCTTTTTTTCAGAAACAAGCTTTCATTGTCCCTTTCGAGAGTCAGTCCGCAAACAGCGCGTTGTGGTGTTGCACACACGGTACAGCCGCTCCTGCTGGCGGGTTGCACGGGGAGACGTCGCTCCAGCTCCCTCCCCGCAGCCAAAACGAAGCTGCTTACCCCAACTCCTGGGGGAGCGAGCGGAGCCGAGGCTGGGGCTCGGCTACTCCAGCTGCTGCCCCGGCGATGCTGGCAAAGCTTTTCTTTTTGATTTTTTTT